AGAGAGAGAGAGAGAGAGAGAGAATAAAATGACTGAACCGGATGTGATTATCTGTAGATTTGAACGTGACATGCTAATTTAGCGCTAATCAAGCTTCATGGAAGCATGACATGAGGTTTATGAAAATCAAGGTTTAGTATGAAAAATGCGGGAAGATAAAAGATGAAAGTAGTAACAGAAACGATCAAAGAATTGACAGAGAAAAGGCAACAGAAGAAAACAAGTGCAGTATATCAGCACAGAAAAAAAATGCTGGGGGAAAGAGAAAACTCGGGATCCAACGGTAAGAAAATAAGCAAGATTAGAAACCCCTAAACGAGCGTCTAAGCCCAACAACTAAGATGATTAAAAATGGTACTTCGTGACATGATACCGTGTCAAGCTGATCAACAACGCTTATGCTTGGCAGGCACAAACCAAAAATCAGCCTCGTCATTCGCTGGCACGTTAGGCATGGGCTCTCAATCCGTGCTTCGGTCATAATGTTTCGACCAAATACCATGTTGATTGACAACTGCAATCCGCCATGCCTTACGATCCCCTCAGCTCGGATCAAGATAGAGGCAGAAAATTCACCTTGTACCGAAGAAACCTAAAGGAGATTATATGGTAAAAGAATAGTAAGACTTATATCACGAAAAATAAATATATGAATTAATATACATGAGTTGAGTTGAGTTTGGTTTGGTGTAACATAATTATGTTATTATTATATAAAAAATTTTAATATCAAAAATTAAAATCAAATAATGATAGATCAAATTTACGATAATTACCTTTCGATGTCCTCCAAAAAAAATCTTTATTTGATCTATAGATACACCATCTTATCTTCTCCTCTCTTCCTATTCTTCAAAAGACTGAGCAATATATTAAGAACTAAGGAAGATTGAGAATATCTGTAATATTAATGATTGGTGTATCGTCCCTAGGAGGTCTTTGTTAGGATTGTAACGGCACTAAGAGTGGGGGTGAATTAGTGTTTTTATAAAATTTGTTAGAATCAAGTTGGCACTAAGAATGGGGTGAATTAGTGCTTTCGATAAAAACGACATCAATTCGAAAATTCATTCAATAAAGCTTGTATTCGAAAAAACATTTAAACTTAAAAATGTTCGTAAGTGATTAAGGGCAATGAGAAGTAAATCAACAAGTAATGAGAATGAAAAATATGAAAGAAATAACATAGAAAGAAACCACATTGGATTTATAATGGTTCAGTCCTTGTGACCTACGTCCACTCTCAATTCATCCTCTGTTGAGGCCATCGGTATCCACTAATGGTCTTCCTTTAATAGGCGAACACCAACCATCCTCTTGCAATACTTTCTCCTTTTCACGAGTTTAGGAGCCAACCCTTACAAACCTCACACATCTCTGAGAATATTCACAAAACTAGAAAGGGAAGAAGAGGACACTTAGCAATTTTACAATCTAAAATCTCAAGATTTTTATTCACACTTTCGTACTCTTTCATGCAGGAAAGAGTGGGGTATCTATAGGCCCCAATGGCTTCAAAAATGGAGCCAAAAAGTGTCTTATCACAGGTTTCCGAGGTACTAGCGATACCACCACCATTATTGAGTGGTACCATTGCTTGCAGACTGATATTGGATGGTACGACCGCTTGACAAAGCCTCGGAGATCGGGCTCTGGCGGTACCACCGCCCGACAGCATTAACTGATGGGGATATAAACAGGAATAACCTTTGTATAGGAACAAATACTAGAAGACCAAAATATGCAGCGGAATAAAATGGAAACACAATTAAACATAATACCAAGATATACGTGGAAAACCCCTTCAATATGAAGGGTAAAAACCACGGGGCAAACTAGAGATAATCCACTATGAGAATAATGAATGTACAAATCTCAATCTCTTGCCCAAAACCCTAGCAACAACCACAAGAGAATAACTAGGATACAAGGATCACGTCACTGCCCACAATATCTAAAACCTCCCAAGTAATCACAGCAAGAGCCTACTATAGATTTGATCTAACCTGAGATGAGAACACTGCTAGATGATTGAGAACAGTCTCTCTGCGTTATCCTTGTCTTCTTCCCTTTCTTTCTCTTCCTTTTCTGCCTTGTTCTCCTTCTTCTCTTTGGAATCTCGTGGCTCCCAAGATCTGCCTCGTTGCTGCCTTTTTATAGCTTTAATCTGCCTCTAAAACGCAGCCACCACACCCCCCTAATCTTAATTAGGGTTAGGTTAAGAGGGGGTGTGGGCTGTGGGCTGATAAAGCCCACATGGGCTGAATATGGGCCATCAGCCCAACAACCTCCCCCTTCAGCCCATAAGGGAGGCTGTCCCATGACTTCTCAATGTGAAGCCATGCCGACCAGTTGTCGGCATATCTCCTGTCTCTCTTTTGGTAAGGTCTTCGTCAACATGTCTGCTCCGTTGTCATCTATATGAATTTTCTGAAGCTGCAACTGCTTCTCTTCAAATACATTTCGAATCCAGTGGTATCTGACATCTATATGCTTTGACTTGGAATGAAACATTGGGTTCCTACACAAATGGATGGCACTTTGGCTGTCACAATGCACCACATAATTTTCCTGTTTCAGCCCCAATTCTTGT